GGGGGGGGGCAGATATTCATATATTCGTGTTCTGCCCAATTAATTTCTTTTGAAATCGATTGTTTTTACAGTCTGTGAACACGAATATATGAATATCTGCCCCCGCTATTATCGATTCTCCGGCGCCTCTGACAATAGTGCAAGGGCTGCAGACACAATTAATGGATTCCCTATAGGTAAATTTGCAAGGGGTACCGTAAACCTCTGAATATAAGCCCCCCGAATATAAGCCCCACTGTGTATAAGTCCACCTCATGTACTAACGCTCACCTCATTCCAAATATAAGCCCCCCCACCCGAATATATGCCCACCTGAATATAAGCCCACTTGTTTATCACTATTGTTTATCACTATTATTACTATGCTTAAAGGCGGATTTCCAGTCCTCACACGAAGCTGCGAATGCATGCATAAGCACTTTCATCCAATCACAATGCTAAACAGTTAATTTTTCTTAGATGCAAGCACTCGCAGCTCGCTGCGAGGAGCTTAGTGCGAGGACTGGAAATCCGCCTTAACACTTGTTTATCACTTTTACTATACTTGTTTTGATCTATTACACTAACACAAAAGATTGTCCATGTGTAAGCCCCCCCCCCTGTATATAAGCCCCCGCTTGTATAAACCCAACAAAAATCGGAGGTTAACGGTATAAACACAATGGCGAAAACAATATATTGAAATTAAGTAAGGGGGGGGGGGGCAATGCAACTCAATGGGTTATTAAAAGTAACTAGCGTGTCAGGCTCTATGCTTGAAATAAAGCCTGCTACTACTGAGGTCAATAAAAAGTGGATTTATGCATATGATTCGTACGTAAAATTCCCATTGGTCAGAAATAAATAGCTTTGCTTTTTAAGGTAATATCAAATTGTTGTTTACGTAATGATATTCCGTAATTGTACTTGTAATTGTACTTTAACTACTTTTGGCCACGTTAATTACTGCCTTTGCTGTCTATAAACACAGTCAATAACCGTTATTATTATTTAGTATGTAATTCCTGGCCATTTAATGAAAATTGGAATATTTATTTTTGAGATATTGCATCCCTTATTGTCATATTTTAAATTAGCTTTGATAATCTAATGTATCAGTTAATATCAGTAGTTCCCATCCCTGGGCCTTCGACGTTTTGCGTCATGGTGGATTTGGCAGATTTCACTGGAAAAGATATTGAATTCGTTTGCAAATGGCTTGTGGACATTCCCAGAAATGGCTAATACCTTTGGGGGGGTGGGGGGGGCACTGCTGGAATTGACTGATATGTAATTAACAATCGCCCTTTTGATTTGTTTTAATTTTTGTGCATCCAAATCACTGTCCACTTTTTATTGACTTCAGTAACAGGCTCTATTTCAAGCATCGAGCCTGACATGCATCAAAGGGCTTATTGACAACTTCTGTTGTGGTTACCCAGCCTGAGGCGAAAGTAATAAATTGTAAATTATTATAAATGTTCTGTGAAGTGCACATATTTTTCCTGCAGTTAGGCCAGTTAGGGACCAGTCTCTATTTATGGGGGGGGCGGGGGGCAAAAGGTGGGGCTATGAATATTAATAAATGACTAGAAAGGGTGGACCTATTAAAGTTTTGGAGAAAATTGAAGGGTCAAAATGTGGAGTTGCATAAATTTGGATAAATTTGTTTAAGCCTGGTTTCCAGTGTCCCAGAACGTCTTGTTAACTTTATTTTGCCGTGACTTTTTATTTTGTCCTGAGTTAATTTCATTTTGTCGTGAGTTAACTTTTAATATTTTCCCATGAGTTTATTTTGTTTTGCCGTTGCAGTTAATTTTATTTTGCCATGGCTCAGTTTAGTCAGTTACTTTCGCTGTGGGCCACATATTTTATACATATTTTATAGCGCCGCCTGGGGGATCACTCTTCCAAGCTTGGTGGGATTAACGGATCACTTCATTTAGCCAATCAGATTACGAGCTTTTGTGGATCGTGATCTGATTGGTTAAAATGAAGGCGGACCAGAAAGTAGGCAGGTACCTACAAAATGGTAAAATACTAAAAATAGCTGGTATCCTGCCGTGAAACTTTAACTTTTATAGAACTTTAAAAAGTTTAATTTAGGTTTTTAATCGTGTTTTTAAATTTGATATGACATAAACAAGTAGTAAAGGTACATTTTTAGATTTTTATAAGTTAGATAAAAGCACAAAACACACTGCTAACTTTTTTAGTCGCAATTCAATTGATCGGTAAATTAGGACAGAAGATCGGTTTAGCCGCTACGCAGGCTACTTATTATATATCGGAGGGTAAATTACAAATAATTTTTTTTAAAAAGAAAAGTACCCCATCAGTCTATACTTCCCGACACTACTAACTCGTATCGGTCAAGTCCGTCTCGTGCTAGCGGCTAAGCTCAACGTTTAATATCGTAAGAGGCGAGTCTCTATAACGTCGGAAATGGCCTTTTATACAGAGTCTTCTACTGCAAAAAGGGCACTTTCTTTTGCAGCACTTTAGAAAAAGGGGGCACTTTAGAAAAAGCTTAAAAGAATTGGGGACCACATGCTCACATGCAGGGCCGTAGCTAGCATGTATAGTTGGGGGGTGTAGGCCAAAAATTTCCGAATAACGAAAAACATTTCCGAATATTTCATGGCATACGAAGCCACGAAGGTGTCTGCTATCCGGTAAATGAAGATGCAATTTACAAACAAAAATACACATAGTTTACGCACAGACGTATTACAGAAGCATGCAGTGCCGTAGGAAGCCCTTTTTTATTGGAGGTTGAGAACGAGGGCCGAAGGCCCGAGGAAATTTTTAAATTTAGATTCTCTGAAATACCATTTCCTGGACTTTGGCCGGAAGTTTTGACAGAATTCTGATGGTCAGAAAACAGAGTTTTAGTATGATATTTGTGACGTTGCTCTGAGTATGCATCCACAGCGGGCAAGCTGAAAAGTTTGCTTGGCCACGGTGGGAGTCGAACCCGCGACCTTTGGGATACTAGTCCAATGCTCTGCCAACTGAGCTACGTGGTCAAGTCGGTTCGAGTTGTTAATAGAGTTTTAGTATGTCGAAATTTACAATTTGCTTACAATTTAGTAGAACTAAATGGGCGAAGGCGTATTTAATTAACTATATATTGCAGGAAAGAGTATGGGTAATATGATTCTTTGCGGTTTGTCATGGATAATGTAGCCGCTTAAAATTAATCAGTAGACCTTTCCCCTTATGAGTGAAATTTTTATCTAGCCTAATATTTAAGATCTAGACAAAAATTTCCTCACATGCTTGAAAGAGCATCACAAAATTAGTAATATTCCGAAGTTTCGTTGCGAAATGTTGTAAAATGAGGATAATATAGCCTTGCGAAGTTTGCCGTTTTTCAGTCATTAGCGACCTTAAGCAAACAGGACAGTAACGCGACGACGACGGCTATTCACACAATGCTATTCGTGATCCCGTACAAAAGAAATGAATAATTAAAAGCCCACGGGAGTTAGAGACGGGCTTTTTACAACGGCAAAACAGAGATTTTTACGTCTCGTGTACAACGCAAACATGTCAAGACGCGACCAGTGAAACTACAAATTTGTTCGCAGAAGCATGTTTAACCGTAAAACATTTGTTTTAGTCTCATCAAACTGAACTCAATTCATATACACATGCTGAGTGGATAATACACAAGAACTCTTCTTCGCAATAATTTATTTGAAGATGTTTGTTTTGGCTGTCGTCGTCGCGTTGCCGTCGTACATGCTTAAGGTCCCTATTGTATTACAAATGGGAAATTGATAATCAGTTTGATCATCTGATTATCAATTTCCCGTTTGTAATGCAAAATGACTGAAAAACGGCAAACTTCGCAAGGCTACATATATTATCCGCATTTTACACCATTCAACGAAACTTCGGAATATTACTAATTTTGTGATGCTCTTTCAAGCTGTGGTGAAATTTTTGTCCAGGCTTGTCTAGATCAAAATTTCACTCAAAAGGGGAAAGGTCTATTGTAGAGGTGTGCAAATCCGATCCGAATCCGATCGGATTCGTTCGGATTTCGGAACCAAAATATAAATTTCGGATCGGATCGATATCCGAAATAAAATGAATTAATTATCCATGCATTTATCAAAATATCATCGCGGTTGTCGCTGCATTATTCGTTTGATACTTCAATTGGACGTCAGCTTCATGATATGTATTTCTTGCTTTTATATTTATTTGGTTAAATATTTCAACTTGAATGAGAAATTTATTTTATTAAAGATCCCAATTCCGAATCGGATCGGATTGGAATTCTTTTTCAAAACTCGGAACGGATCGGATTCGGATTTGACAATTTCGGATCGGATCGGATTTTAAACATTAGGCAATTATCGGATTATAAACGTCCAATCCGATCCGATGCACATCTCTAGTCTATTGTCAGTATTTTAAAGGTATATTATTTAAATGATCGATAAAGGTGTGCATGATTTTGAAAAAAGAATGCCTTATCAGCAAATTATTGTAAGGGCTGATGCCCCCAGTCCCCCCTCCCCCCGACTGCTACGGCCCTGAGAAGTAATAAACCGAAAAACATTTACCGATTTACGATTTGTTTTACGTTATCCATGTAAATGCCGCGATTTCGTAAATCAGTTTATACCAATGGTTTATACTGACAATACATTTTATAACCAGATTTCTCTGTTTAAACAACTAAAATTTTGTTATACTATTATTGCCGTAATTTTCCGACTGGCCAACCCGATTTTCCGAATATGTTAATTCTACCCCCCCTCGCTACGGCCCTGCTCACATGCTCCCATTGCCCCCATGTTCAGCGGCCGCAGTGGTTCAGTTAGCAACTGGTATCGAACGAACGACGGGGGAGAGTGCCAGGCATAATGGTCTGGGGGCCGGCGGCACCCTTTTCGCAAGATCTTATGATCGGTAACTACCAAACACAAATAAAAGTAACAGTTCGGTATATAAGTACGTTACAGTTGCCCGGTGTGGTGCATGTGGGACCCTTCAAATCGGTGTTTCCAAACTTTTGAAACAATGCATGCGCGATAACTGTAGACGTAGCGCATGCGTAGGCATCATCCAATCAGGACGAAGGAAAATATCGCGCCGGTCCCGCGAGTTCGAGACATGTGCGATTCGGCTCAGAATCGAGTCAGAAATTTGAAATTTCAGTGTAGAAAACAAATTTATATTTGTACGACTTGCGCCTTGTTTTTGTAATAATAGTACTAGAAGTTACTAACGCAAGGAGATGCTGCCTGGCGGCCAAAACTTTGGGTTAGGTTGTTCAAAATCTGTTTAAAATTCGTGGATAATTCAAAACTAAACAACACTATAATGGAAACATAACACTATTATAGTTTTTAAACAATAAAAATCGTATTTTATTGTATTGTAAGAATCGCGTGCATATATGTTACAACAACTATATTCTAATTATCTAAAATTAAGAAAACAGTTCTCTGTAATGAAACAGGTCATTTTCTGAGCACTCCAAACGATAGTAGCTAATAAAAATTAACAAATTATGGGTCATTCCACGGCTTATTTCTCCGACAATATATGTATAATGTGACCCGCAGGGCTACCTCCACACATTTAGCTATTATGCGATTGTCACTAAGGTTAATGTCACTAATATTCTTAGACACAAAGTCAAGCGTGGTCACCTCTAGAGTAATAACCTGGAATGACTCGCAGTTAATAACACTATTATTCAAACACTCATTAATAATTCATAAGCTTATTGGCAAATCATGTCAACCATAATATGTCACGTGCAGTGGCTTTAAAACTGATAAAACACTCCTAATTAGTATTCTTTATATAAAGAATACTAGTAAGACAGTATCTATTGTAGCTATAGTCGTGTCTCATTAGTATTCTTTATATAAAGAATACTAATAAGGCAGTGAATCTATTGAATTTGTAGTCGTGTTTGAAGCCGTTTAATAAACTCACAGGTCTTGTTTTATTAGGTCTAAAGGCACTTGCGCTGCCCGCTCGTGGCTTTAAACCTAATAAAACACTCCTGCTCGTTTATTAATATCAAACGTTTCTCACATAGAGTGAGTGATTGGGCGACACCGATTGTACCAGTGCCGAAATAAGATGGTTCAGTCCGTATTTGTGGTGACTTCAAATGTACTATTAACCCAACATTACAAGCAGAACTGTACCCTCTGCCTCGAATCGAAGATATTTTTGCCCATTTAGCTGGTGGGAAAAAGTTTTTCAAGATCGAGCTCCGCCAAGCCTACCATCAGATTGACGTGGAGGCGGAATCCATGATAGGTTTGTTTCAATGCAATCAATTGGTGTTTGGTATTACCTCGGCTCCCGCCATTTGGCAGCGTACCATGGATCAGATTTTGGAAGGAATTTCTGGTATTAGTTCTTTCCTAGATCACTAGATTATATGATTGTGACGGATAAGAGCGACGCGGAGCATGTGGCTAACCTGGAGGAGGTCCTTCGTGTGACAAGCAATGCTAATTGCCACACTCATCAGGTGAATTTTAGATTCACCTGATGAGTGTGGCAAGCATTGCTTGTCATACGAAACAAGTTTGTAGCGAATAAAATCTTTTGAAGTAAACCAGGTTTATTTTATTTTATCTTCGAACTGAATGGGATTCCCTTCGTCGTGAAGACTAGGGTCTTCGCTCGAAACGTTGCAGTTTATTTGTATTTTTCGGGTAGTTGAGTTCTTTTCAATCTGCAGCTTTCTGGTGTTATTGTCACTATACAACTATGCTGGCACAGACCGTTCCTTTTTATTTTAGTAAATATATAAACATTTTCGCGGGGGAATACTAGCGACCACGTTAAGGTTTGTGTCGGGCTCTATTTTTAAAATAGAACATGATACTCAGCCCCGAGCGTGTGATCCCTTTAGCTCGGGATACGAATTTGGATGAAATGGAAAGCATGCTTAACCTTCAGACGACCAACTCTCAAAACAGTTATTTGATAAAATTCTACTTGTGGAAGAATTAGAAGAAGAATTTTATTCGCACCAGTCAAGAATACATAATTACAATTTTTTCCACACCTTATTAAAACAGAGTTGGCACAGGATATCTGAAGTAGCTTTAACACTAATCGAAGTCAGATAACCTTATTAAAGTATTCGAGCCACTGTGGGTCAACATTGGGTTTAAGGTCATGGTGCACAATGATTATACAGATACAAATTAAAATTTATAGACATATGCAAAAACAAAAGCAAGCATAAAGTCAGTAATCATTAATTATAAATTTGATTTTAGTTCATTTGAAAGCAAATTAAAACAGAAATAAGAATAAAAATAAAGCTAGTATAAAAATAAAGTTAGTATTCATTAATAAATTTGATTTTAATTTTTTTTTTAAAAAAACTGATTTAGTTAGTATTTTCAAGCTATCATCTATATCATTCCAAATATAGGGTCACTGTGATCGGATAGAAAATTTACCGTAATTTGCTCTTACAATTGGTATACGATAACTAATTGTTGTTCCTAGTCTAGTACTGTGTCTGCATGTACTTGTGTTTATCACTAACGAAAAAGAAAAAATCGTTAAAGACAGTAGGGAGTCTATTTACACTGACCTGAAAGGTCAAGTGTCTTAAATCCCTAATTTTCTGTTTTCTGTTTTCGTCGAGAAATGGAGTTTGCGTTAGCGCATCGCAGGCTCAGGGTGCAACGATTAATCCAAAATGCCATCGATTCAAATGCCATTCGATTCCTCGACTGCTTGATTTAGTTTTCATAGTAACAAGGTCCGTATTTATGTACGTAGTAGCCGGCTCATGCCATGCTTGTGGTACATCTTTCTTTATTAGCCCATACACTTGTACGAACGCGCACAATTACCAGTTCCAGACCTCCTGAGTCCCTATATCCATCAGAGGCCATGTGCATTTATAGATAACGTTTGTATTTGTGGGTAATACACAAGTTTCATTGGGCATTACGAAAACATCTGCTGAGGATCACGCCACGCTTTTAGCATTTCACCGTTTCTTTGTAATATTGTACGGGATTTGTACCCCGCGAATTTATACAATAGAATGGAATATAAACAAGGACAAGTTAAAGTTTTGACAGTTTGACTACAAAATATTGTATGCGCAGAGTAGAATTATATACTCAATGTGTTTGTATCATATGCAATACACATATAGTCATTCGCGCATCCGTAATGTACAGTCAATGGCGCGACATCCGTGATGGGTCCAAAGTTAATAAACCTGCTACTGATCGTGATCGACTTAAGACGTTTTACCCTCAGACAATACATCTATACTAAACGCGAAAAATTTACTTGCTACTGATAACTACAAGAAACATACATTTTATTGTGTTACTGAAGATTTGTTGCGTCAAACAATAACATTACTTTTAACTTCGATGCGAATTTTAATACAAGTAAGGTATGGTATCATATTTCATAATATAATGAACAATGTAAACTAGCCCTACATTTCGTCGAACATAACTTCGGCCCCTTTGGACATATCTTTTTCGTAATAGTATTAATGGAATCAGAATCCAAAACACTATTTATAGTGTTATTTTCAAGCTTGTGTCTTACTTCAGATTTTCATCTTTTATTTCGGTATTTACAGAATATTTATATTTTTAGCGCGTCCCATAGAATGTACATCTAAACAACGCGCTGTTTCAATGGTAGGGGTCTAAAATTCGACTTAAGGTGTTTTACCTTCAAACTGCACTTCCTCGGAAGTTGACTGGTTGGGGTTTTTTCGTGCAACGTCTCTGGAAATGCAATATCTGGATCGCTGAGTTTTTCGAATTTTATACGTTTAATATCACGGAATGTAAACAATGTTGTCTGTGTTAGCGCATCGCATGCTCAGAGCTAAACCATGTGCATTCGTGGATAACGTTTGTATTTGTGAGTAATACTTGTATGTTTATTGGACATTACAAAAACATCTCCTGAGGATCACGGCACGCTTTTAGCCGAGCTTTTAGCCTTTCACGCTTTGCGTCTGCGGTTCACGACTTGTATTCTTGTCTATTGCACCGTAGCTCGTATGTCGTCATTTTCAGGTCAGTGTGAACGCCTGAGCTGGCGTCTTGTATAGAAATCGTGCATAAATAATAAGTTGGACATCTTTATTATATCAAACAGCTTTAAAAGACCAAGATTTTTAAATAAAGGACTAGTATGTTCATCATATCTTGAGAAAGTGATTATATGTACTGCTCGTTTCTGTAAGAACACTAATGATTTCAAGGAAGATTCATAGGTGTTTCCCCAAACTATGGTTCCATACGTAAGAAAAGGGTATATCAAAGAATAATAAAGCTCATGAAGAATGTTAAATGTAACATAATATCGTAGTTTTGAAAGAATGCCAATGCTCCTCTGAATTTTTTTTGAAATATTATGAATTTGAGTTTTCCCATTTAAGTGGCAGTCAATATAGATACCTAGGTATTTAACATAGCTTGTTTGTTTAACGGAGTCACAATTGATATAAAGTTTAAAAACATGGGTAATTATTTTTTGAGGCGTACGGAATATAACGTAATTTGTTTTACCAGTATTCAAACATAAAACAAACAAGACGCTCTCTCGAGCGTTAAGTTGCTGGGGCTTTTTAAATAGGCGCCTGCGTGGTTTGCAACGAGCGGTAAGAGTATATTCAACGATTTGTGGGCTTGATTTGTAATTGTACATAAGTTTATTAAATAGTGACACGTTGCAACATAATGTATACAGCAAATTTAATTAACTAAGGGATGGACCATTAGAAAAGTGATCGGGGGGGGGATTTTCTAAGAGGCAATATTTTTTTTGTACACTTATAGAAGAAATTTTTTTTTCTCACTTGATGGCTGGAAATATATTTTTTTTATTAAAATTTATAGGCCTATCTTCCAAGAAAGGAATTTTTTTGGCACTCTGCCTGGGAAGATTTTTTCCTCTAATTTTTTCCTGGGAATAAATTCTTTTTTGGTCCCCCCCCCCATCAGTTTTCTAACGGTCCGTCCCTAAGGTCGTCCTTTCAATGAAGTGGAATCTCACAATCAGGTCCGTTGCACAAGAGTTCA